AAGAAAGAAAGAAAGAAAGAAAGAAAGAAAGAAAGAAAGAAAGAAAGAAAGAAAAAGGAAGACAAGAAAGAAAGAAATTAAAGGAAACTTGTATGACATCCCATCTGTACCACTTAGCAGACTGATATTTTATCCTAAACATTCATATAAATATTTGATTAACTGAATGTGTTTGAGACAAAGGACTGTTTACTATTGTGACTAATGAAAGTATGCAAGGAACGATAGCATAAGGACTTTGACTCTAGAAAATATCAAGTTAATGATGCATGAACTTATAAACATTATAAACTCACCAATTAAAGACAAGAGAAAGGAAGTTCATAATTTACATGTGGATTGTGATGTAGAGAAAACTGATATATCTTTTTAGCAAAACAAAGACAAACACTGGTACGAATCCACAAACATAAACTCGCACATTTGGATTTCACTTATTATTGTGGGTCCCGCGTAGCAGACCCCGGGAACTGAGTAGCTGCCATGTGATGACTTTATGTACTTTGATACAATTGGAGAAATATTTTTAAATGTTTTTGGCAACATGAAGAAAACTATAGAATCTCATCGATGGATATAAAACAAATTTTTTCAACAAATGGAAAGATAAATGCACATTTTGGATGGGGAAGCTATAATAAAATATTAATGCTTTGAAATTAATGTGTGGGCTTCTTTAATACTACTCAGAAATTCAGATGAGAATGGTTAGAATTACAAAAATTGTCTTAAAAATAGTCAAAGTATTATATAAAATACAGGTGACTTGGTTTTATTTTGTAAAAGTAAATAAAATACATAGAATTAAAATGTAAAAATCCAAATTACTGTATTATTAGTGTGACATATACAGATAAATCTATGGAAAGAGCAAATAGACTAGAATTCAATCCAAGGACTCAAAGGTCATGTTTTAAGTCACAGAAGAAAGGACAGATGACACAGCCTGGTATAATAAATTACCCATTCATGTCTTACTTATGGAAAAAAAAAAAAAACAGACAGGTTTCTTAAGGATTAAAGGCATACTTATAGAAAGTGAAACACTAACATTTCATTTGCAAAAATCTAGGAGACGATACTCTAGAAAATGATATGCACATCTTTGATCAAATGTGAATTTTTTTAAGCTAAGACCAAAATCCAGAAAGTGGCAGAGATAAGGCACATAAATTAGCAAAAAAGATAACAGAGGCAAAAAAAAAAAAAAAAAAAAAAAACCCACATATAATAGGCTTTGAAAACAAATGCATGCACCAGAAAATCCAGACAGAAGCTTGTTTCTGGAATACACATAGGACGCTGAAAATGTGTCAAGCTGAGAATCGGAGTTCAATAGAAAAAAGATAAGAGTCAATTCACTGAGCATCTTCAAAGGATCAAGTGTATGAAAAGGTGGTTCCAATACACTGCTAATCAGATAAATGCAAATTAAAATAACAGAGAGACATCGTATCACACTCAAGAGGCCTGCAGCAATTTAGAAGGCTGAAGACTTGACCAGCAAGTGAAAAATCAAAGTTTTAAAGACAGTTGGAAAAGTCGATTCTGTTAAAATTAAAAAATGTTTTTAACCTTCAACGTAGAAACCCCTGTCTTCATTAGTCTAACTTTAAAGCAAAGCAGTAAAGAGTACAGAATCCATAAGGGGGATTTAAGTATGACAATTTATTCGGTGTAACCAAACAAAATAAATAGTCAAGGCCTTTTTGTATAGGATGATACAAATTTACTACAGGATAATAAATATGTAGTAAATTTATATCACAGACTATTTTTCAACTCTTAAAAATGAACAATAAATAATTCACAGCACAATTTCTGTGATTTGCTGTTTAGTGAGATAACAAAAATATAGAAAAGTGAATACTGAATAACCCCTTGAGTAAAATAAACAAAATTAATAAACAATGAATTTAAATCCCATATAGTCATCCATGATTATATGAGTGTATAATAATTTATGCTCACCTTGAGAGTAAAAGGAGAGTATTAAGTGAGAAGGAAGAGAGTTAAATATTAAAGGAAAAGAAATAACACATAATTGGTATAAAAGTTCATTTTGTTCATATTTTCCAATTCATAAATTATCATAAATATAGGTTAAAGTCAAAGTATATTGGGATTATGTGAAATTAACATAATTTGAGACCACTTCAGACATTAGACATGTTGTCTGTTCAGGTTTTTAAAAATAACTAACTATTCATTACATATTTCTTATGGAAAAATTAATATTATAAGCAACGATAGGCCAAAACATAACCCTGTCTTGCAACTTCACTCTCTGTCAATAAGTGACTTTCCTACCTGTGTTTATTTAGGTTTGACCCACTAATATGACAGTAGCTGGATTTTATTCATTATATTTATGCATTTTGCTTACTTTTACAAAATAACATCAAGTACTAATATTTTCTATAATCCTATAGTTATATCTTATTTATTTATGTTTATATATTATTAGCTTCTGTTCTGTATATAATATTATGTATTATATAATACTATATATTATTACTAATTATTGTGTATAAATCCATAAATTCAGGAAAAAATTAAATATAAAATTTTTTAAAAAGTTGTAATCCTAAATGGGCTCTGTGCGGTGGCTTCTGTCTTCTTCCACAAGTTCAGTTTAGTGTTCTTCTTGGGGTCAATGGTTTTTGTAGAAACGTCTACATCTGTTCCTTTGAGCAAGTTACATCACACTCAGAGCCTCAAGTTTTAAATAGAGTGCTTGACAGAAAAAGGATCGAGGAAGTCACAGGAATCCCACAATGTGAAAATCCAGTGCTCAACAGAATGTTATCAACAAATGCTCAAATGGATACTGTCAAAGATACAAAATGCAGAACGTCTCTCAAAATAATGTATGATAAATTCAAATAGTATGATAAATTCAAATCATTTGCTAAAAGTAAATAAATAAATATTTTCAGTTTTTTATTGTATATATATATTATATATATACATATAATTACATGAATTAATTACTATGTGAACTGATGGTACCTCTCTATCCTATTTGATTCAATGGAGACAATGGGCCAAGACTACACAAGAAAAAGGTAATAATAAAGTGACTACAACTTGGAATTATTGGTGGAGGTTTTGTTAAGCTGTAACTGATTAAAAGGAGATCTTGCCGACAGAAGATTTGAACATACTGACTCCAACAAGCCAATCATTAACACGGGTGTGCTTTTAAAAGAAGCAGTATATTTGAAAGTCTTGTTTCACAATCTAGAGATTGAAAAGGTGTGAAGATTAAACAAGAGTCGCAACCTCTTCTGGTTGTCCATCTAAATCTTCCCATGGCTGCTTGAGGGACATAATGAGGACAAGGGCCTTGGAAACCAAACTAGAGTGTGTATCTCATAACCATAAAACATAAACAGCTTGATGCCCAATGAAAAGTTTTATTAAGTTTCAATAAGAAAAAAAAAAGCCTTTTTCCTAGAAGCATTGCAGGTGTGGCTGCTGTGTCGCATGTGTGTCTTTAAGTGACAGAGAGGAGAGAGGCTATGTCTATGCACAGTGTTCTGCCCTCTGAACATTTGAATGATTAGTAACCCAAGATTCTCCGAAAAAAAGCGAACCTGAGACCAACACAAGTCTGACACTAGGGGGAGCTAGCCTGAGACAACCACTAGTGCAGTGCTCCACAGGCCGGAATAGGCTCCCAGGATGGGAAGCAAGAAAGAGACTAGAAGCACCCCACTAGCCAGAGGGTGTGAGCACCTCACACCTCACCAGGGTGTGAGAAACCTGGGCCTGACACTTGTCTGTTGTGCAATGACATGGGCTAGGGCAAGATGTCCCTCCTGACCCCTTGCTACCAATGGCATGCAGGAGAGCTGGCCCTGCACCTCACCTGGGCAGCACAGTAGAACTCTCCCCTACATACGGGGCTGTGGGTGAGCCAGCCCTACTTTTTGTCTGAAGGGCAGTGTCGTGGATGACAGAAAGACACCCGTCTCCTCCCCTCCTTCCTTCCTTGCCACCTATGGCAGGCAGAAGAGCTGGTCCCGGGGTCATAAGAATGGGAGAACTGGTTATGTCCTTTACCCTTCACTGGTTGAAAAACTCAGGAGAGCAGGCCCTGTACCTTGCCTGGGAAGCAGGTGGAGTTCGCCCTGCTGGTGAGCTGGCTCTGCGGTCATGAGAGCAGGAAAGCTGGTGGGCTGACCAGCTCACATAACTTTCAGACCCAGATCCAGAGCTTTGAATTGGCCCACTCTAACAACTACCCCATTGATGAACTGCTGGAGTGAGTGAGGAGACCATGCACAGATCCAAAATTACGGAATCTCCATGACTTAGGGCAGCAACAGGATATCCAAGAGGAGTCCCAGTCAGGTTTCAGTATTGATAGAGTAGCGAAAGGCAGAGGGCTCATACCAAACCAATGAGCCATTGCAAGAAATGTTTGCATGCAATGAAGTGGACAACAGGGTATACTGTGGAACACACTGTGGTTCACTACAATGAGAAGGGTTTTTTGTTCGTTTATTTTGTTTTTTTTTTTTTTTTCTCTGTTGGGGAGAAGGTTTCAAGGGTGGCTGGTGGGTATTTCAGGAGGGAGACATGACTGGGATGGGGCCATGATGTGAAATTCTAAAAGTGTCAATGAAAAGTTTTTTTTAAATTATTTTAATGAAAAAGAGCATGTAAAAATTCTCACAAAAAGTCGGAACACTTTTGTTTCCGTCCTGACCCCTAACTGGTGTTAGTTAATTGTCACTCTCTATGCCACTATAGTAACATTAGAATGGAGAACATAACTTACCTCTACAGGCATGATCTATTGCTGAAATCTTTACAAGGAGACAAAAATAAAGCTAAATTTTTGTTTGTTTGCTTGTTATCTTTTTAAAAATCTGTTTTTTTTTTACTATAACCCTTTCAAATGTATTCTTTTTTTCCCTTGTTATAATTTTTTTATTAATTACACTTTATACATTTTTGTATCCTCCCATAAGCCCCTCCCTCCTCCCCTCCAGATCCCACCCTCCCTCCCCCTTCTTCACGCATGCCCCTCCCCAAGTCCACTTATAGGGGAGGTCCTCCTCTCCTTCCTTCTGATCTTAGTCTATCAGTTCTCATCAGAAGTGGCTGCATTGTCATCTTCTGTGGCCTTGTAAGGTTGGTCCCCCCTCAGGGGGAGGTGATCAAAGAGCAGGTCAATTAGATTATGTCAGAGGGAGTCCCTCTTCCCATTACTATGTTACCCACTTGAACACTAAAATGCCGTGGGCTACATCTGTGCAGGGGTTCTACGTTATCTCCATGAAGAGTCCTTGGTTGGAGTGTCTTCTTTTTTTTTTTTTTAAAGGTAAGTTGAGCCCCACACTATTCTTTTAGTTCAGCCACTTAAAACTCAGTATTTTCTTTTTCTTTCTTAAATTTATTTGTTTATTCATTTTACGTCCCTATAGAAGCACACTCCTCCTCTCCTCTCACCCTCTTCTCCAGTTCCCTTCCACTTCTCCTCAGAAAAGGGGAACCCCCCCCCCATCACAAGCATACCTCAGCACATTAAGTCACATCAGGACTGAGCACAAAGCTCATCTTCTTCTGCTAAGGCCAGACAAGGCAGCCCAGTTATGGGAAAGTCATCTAAAAGCAGGCAACAAAGTCCAAGTCAGATACAACCCCTACTCCACTTGCTGGGGAACCCAAATGAAGACCAAGCTGCCGATCAGTTATAGTTACATGTATGTCATGGGCCTAGGTCCAGACCATGCGTGCTGTTTGGTTGGTGCTTCAGTCTCTGTAAGACCCTATGGCTTAGGTTAGTTGACTCTGTCTGTCTTCTTGATGAGTTCTTATCCCCTCCAGGACCTCTCATCCTTCACCTCACTCTTCCACAAGACTTCCAACTTCACCTAATTTTTGGCAATGGGTTTTAATCTGCTGGCTCCACCTCTCAGAGGGCAGTTATGCCAGGCTCCTGTCTGCAAGCATAGCAGAGTGTCATTAATAGTGTCAGGAATTGGCTCTGTGTCTTATAGGATAGGACCCAGGTTGGGCCAGTCATTCATTGGCCATTCTCTGCTCCATTTTTATCCCTGCACATCTCATAGGTAAGGCCAAGGTGTTGTGGGTGGGTTGGTGCCCCCTCCCTCCACTGGAAGTCCTGCCTGGTTAGGAGGTAGCCATTTCAATCTCCATGTCCCCTGCAGCTAGGAGTCTTAGCTAGGGTCACCCCAACATCCTCCCAGGAGCCTACCTTGTTGTATGTCTCCAGCTTGTTCCAGAGATGCCTTTCCACCTTGGTTTCCCTTCTCTTTCCCAGCCTTTTCTCCTCTCACCCCTACTCTCCCCAAATGTGATCCCCACCTCTGTCCTCTCCCCACACCCTCTCTCATTTAGTTCCCACTCTTCATCCACTTTTTATATCTATTCTATTTCCCCTTCTGAGTGGGATTATCGCATCTTTGTTACTTAGCTTCTTTGGGTCTGTGAATCGTAGCATGGTTATCCTGAACTTTATGGCTAATATCCACTTACAAGTGCGTACATACCATGTGTGTCTTTCTGGGTCTGGGTTACCTCACTCAGGATGATCTTTTCTAGTTCCTGCCATTTGCCTAAAAATTTCATGAATTTTTTGTATTTAATAGCTGAGTAGTATTGCATTTTGTAAATTTTCTCCGTCCATTCTTTGGTTGAGGGACATCTGGGTTGTTTCCAGTTTCTGGATATTATGAATAAAGCCGCTATGAACATAGTTGAGCAAGTGTCCTTATTGTATACTTGAACATCTTTTGAATATATACCTAGGAGTGGTACAGCTGGATAATGAGGTAGAACTGTTCCTAATTTCCTGAGAAAGCACCAGATTTGATTTACAAAGTGATTGTACAAGTTTACATTACCACCAGCAATGGAGGAAGGTTCCCCTATTTCCACATGCTCACCAGCATGTGCTGTCACTGGAGTTTTTGATCTTAGGCATTCTGTTGGGTATGAGGTGAAATCTCAGGGTCTTTTCAGTTTGCATTTCCCTGATGAATAAAGATGTTGAACACTTCTTTAAAAGCTTCTCAGTGATTAGAGGATTCTTTGTTGAAAATTCTGTTTAGCTCTGTACCCCATTTTTAAAATGGATTATTTGGTTTGTTGCTGTTTAATTTCTTGAATTCTTTACATCTTAAGCTGCCTTTTATCTAAGACTGGCTTATAGCATGAACCATAAGGTTGCTAACTGCATAAATCACAGTGATATTATTCAGAGCAATGTTAGTGATCACAGAAAAAAACAGATTAGAGAATAATGAAAATGACCATCAGAAAAGGGCAAAAATGTCTCTGGTGCTTTGAATGCAAAATGTCCTCATGGGCTCATATATTTCAGTACTAGCCACCAATTTCATACTGTTTGGAAACATAAAGGAATCTTCTGGAGTCTTACTAGAGGTAACATTTCGCTGAGGGTGAGTTTTGAGGATTTATAGCTTAGCCCACTTCCTGCTCACATGCTCTGGATGAAACACTATCTTTCTGCTTCCTGTTCTTGCTGCCATGCCTTTTCCACTCTTAATGGTCTCTATCTCTCTGGAACTGTAAACAGAAATAAACTCTTTCTTCCCTAAGTCTTTTGGTTATGCTATTTTTATCATGGAAACATAAAAGTAATTAATAGTCTCATGATCTTAACTTTCTGATTGTTCTTTAGTTTTGCATTTTTATTTCTTAACTTCCTACATGGTAACAACTGGAAAACCCCTTGGACTTGAAGCCATTGCTCTAATTCAATGTGAAATGCAGCAAACTTCCTTCCATCACTGGGACACTCACTTCACAGAGCCTCCTAATCCCAGCAACCCAGGCCCATTAGAACTATGTACATCATGTCCTTTCCTTTCCAGATAACACTTCTCCCATCACATCAGTTTTCTGCAAATGCAATCTGTATTCCTGAGGACTTTCTGTCTATACTTCCTTTACCCCTAGACTCCTAAACAGACCTTTCTGTGTGTGGCTGATAATAAAATGGTTTTCTGTAGTAAACTAAGAAGAGGAGGATGTTGGGCAGTATAATGAGAACATGACATAAACTTTGTCACAAAACATAAAGCCTTAGGCAACCATAATAATATACTGGAATGACTAAACACTTTTGTTTATTTGTTGAGATTGAGTCTATCATTTTTTTTTCTTTTGAAGAAGACAGACTTTCATGAAGCATAGGCTAGCCTCACTGTTGTAAATATAATGGTATTCAACTAATAATTATTTATCATTAGCTCTATGATTGTCTCAGTGGTATTATTTAACTTGCTATCATAAACAATAAGACACAAAGACCTGTTAGATTTTATATATTTATTTTTAAATTCCTGTTAGATTTTTATAATTGCCTATTTGCCAGAGGCTGGGTAGATATTTTTACCTATGCTACCTCAAAAACCTCCACATCCATCTTCCAGCCCCCATCCAATGCCATCTGCCTTAACCATTGCTATCTGGGCTACCTTCCATTTATAATCTTATAAATGCTTGTATGTATTTTTCATCTGGGCCTTTTCACGCTATTATTAGAGCCCTTTCTCCCAGCCCACATGGTTTTGTCTCC